AATTTTATTTTTAATAATGAATGGTCTTGCGACCTTGAAAGAGCACAATTAAAAGCTAGAGAATTTGCGGCCTCTCTAGGTCGACTTAGCCCAAATATGTTCATGTATTTTAGCTGAATTATGTGGTACGATATTATACGGTACGAAAGCTCCATATTCACTCTTTTAGAGCGATCCTGAAATCACCTTCTATCGACGCTAAAGTTGTCCCAGAACTATCCAGACATCCACTCGTTCGAAGAGCTGCAAAGTCTCTGGTAAACATGTTTACATCGCCGAAATTCCAAGGTTATTGTTCTGTTCTAATGTTCATTCTTGTTAGCTGCCAAAGAGATGAAATTAGTGCGACATCTGTCATCCAGTATATCTGATTTCACGAAGCAAGTGACAGAGGAATTCAAACGTGGTTTTTCTCAAAAGTGATTTGCTACCGTAAGGTTTCGCAATTACTTGCCACGCTTTCACAATCTACTTTGCTTTGGTTTGTCATTTACCTCACCACGCTTCAGTGTTTCTTTACATGACATAATTCCGGTTAAGTCCAATGTCAGCACAGTGGTTTGTCATGGCTAATTCCATGGTCCATCGGAATATGATTCGTCAGGATTGGGCGTCTTAGTCGACAAGGCGAAGATGCCGTTTGACTGCTTTCAGTGGTGTTATTCCGCTGAATACTATTCAAAGCAGCGTCTTCCTTCGCGGATCACTTGGTTCAATACTTCCCCCCCAGGCATATCATACCTGACGAAATTTACGAGGATTCATAACGTCGCACATTTACTAAGTCGACTCATATTTGTCGTCTCATTGCAGCTCTTACTCTCTCCACGTGTTACTTCCAATATTTTCGCCGAAATACCAGTTTCAAACTCCAAATCGAATACTTCGCACATCCCCAACACTTTCAATAGCGTTCTTTTGTTTCAGATGCTCCAAATCTCGCCGCGCTATTGTATGGTCCATTGTCTTTGACATTTGAATCCGTAAAGCAGACCCACCCACTGAAACCCTTGTACGCTTTCCAAAAAATCGAGAAGTTTATCCCTTAACTGATTAAACGGTTATTTTACATAGTATTTGTGGAAGAAATACTATACACGGGCATTTTACTAATGTACATGGATCGATGTTGGCTACCAACCACGCCTCATTTGCGGTGGTGGCGGTCTCTGCATCGCTGGTCTCTTGGGTGGAGGTGGACCGCCGTACCCAGGAGGCGGTGGCGGGCCGTTATAGGGGCCTGGTCCACCCCACTGGTGGTCGTAGGGAGGTCGGAAGGGCAGCGGTGGGCGCCGGAACGGGGGTCCATTTGGACCGGGTGGGGGATATCCGCTAGGAGGGTACCGGGGCGGTGGTCCTCCCATAAATCTCTGAGGTGGTGGTGGACCATATCTCGATGGCAAGGGTTGATTCGACGGTCGCATCGACGGATGCGATTCCTGCTGTGGAGGTGGGGGTGGCGGTGGCTGTGGAGTGGGATGAGGCGGGGATGGTGGCATCAAACTGTTAGCAAATGCAAGCATCTCTTCCTCACGAGCAGCTGAGTCAAACTTGCGCCCCTTAAATCTTGCGTCATATTCGGCCGCCTCTGAGGCAGCAGCTTTGGCCTTGGGATTCATGCACATGTCAGAAGTGACCAAGGGAGTGGAGACGCTTCGCGAGTGCGGTATGTCCACCTTATTTTGGTTCTCTGCTAAAATCTCGCTACCTACCGACCCCTTGTTTGCAGATCCACAAGCTTCGCGATTACTTTCTTTGGCAGCCGCTACAGCGGAAAGGACAACTCCGGTCTTGTGAAGGACTCGGGAGCTGGACCAGTTTGCCATAAATTCCTTGGATATAGATCCCGGAGGGCGATTTGGTAGTGGTCGATTTTTTAATACGTCTGACTCTTGTTCATCTTCTGGAGCAAGCGGGCCAGGAGGACCATCGTTCAACCCCGGAATTTCAACTACAGCTTCTTCAGTGGGTGGCTCCAGTGCAATCGATTGATCATCAGCATCCATGGTCATATCGTGTATGGATCGACTCAGGGATCCTCCCAGTACGTCATTTACTAAGTCTTCTGAACTAATGGCGGGAAGGACGTTTGCGATACCCGAGAGAGCATTACTAGATCCATTTACATCCTTCAAGATATCACCAGGGCGGTTTCGTGTCCAAAATTTCCTTGATTTAGCCAATAAACGTCAATATGCATTTCATTAATTCTGGTCTATGCAATTGAGGCAACTTACGTAGTAAAGTCATTACCACCGGACACAAGTATATGCCCAAGCGGATGCCAGGCAAGACTCCATATCATATTATCGTGAGCATCGTCGATTACACCAAGTTCAGTTTCGGTTCTAAGTAAAAACAAATTGTAAAATGGGGCTAAGCATATTTACGTGGACCAACATTTAAGTAGTGATTAATTGCTTCTTACCCGACACACCAAAAGTGAATAGCACCATCACCACTTCCACTAGCAAAAAGACCTTCGTGACAGGAGTGCCAGGCAACGCGCGTCACCTCTTTCTTGTGCCCACGGAAGGTCTGCAATTCTGTCCTCATAAAGCGAAGATCAAAAAGCTTTATCAGATGATCACGGGATGCCGTAAGGAACCAATTACCGTTCATGTTCCATGCCACATCTGTGCATGTGTTTTTGTGTGCGTACCTATAATACGACGCAGCGAGGTTGAAGTCTTGAAAATTTCCGAATATCTGGTACGCTTTTCTATAAAAAACAATCCACTTTCTCGGAGAAAGCCTGAAGAGCACTGAAAGCGAGCGAGACACCAGCAATCGCACATTAATCTTACAAGAACAAAGGCGTTGACTGTTGAGCATGTACAAAATCATCCGAAGAACGTTGTCACATTAGTATGCAAAAAACAGCCAAAACATAGCTTGTGTAGATAAAATTTAACTATTAAAGAAAGCTGCAAAAGGAATTGCAAACGTCGAAAAAATTATTGCAAAATGCAAGCATGTGAAGCAGAAAATGTAAATGCAGGCAACTTTTAAAAAATTAAGAACCTACAAAGTGGCGATTGACTCCCCAGTTTTTGGTTCCCATAATTTTATGGGCTGCTGAGCATCCTTGCTACCTGAGATTATCAACGATTTGTAGGGGTGCCAGGCGATACTACGAACGTCCGAACCATGACCTACGCCAAGAGCAGGATGGAGGCCATGACCGTGAAAAAATAGTATAAGGTTTTCAACAGACGAGTAGTTATTACAAAAAACAGAGCTAGCTATAACCCTCACCTCGGAGAGCACGTTCTTCGTGGCAACGGAAAAAATCCCAAATGCGCACTGTGGCATCATCGCTGCAAGTCACGAACTTAGTGTCGCAAGGCGAAAAACTAAAAGAGCAAAAAGGTTGATGCAAAATTAAAAAGTAGAACAATTGCCAACTTCTAATTATCACTGATAAAGAATTAAGTACGATAGCATAGAAGTGCGATTAGGTCATCAATTTCATGCGAGAATTATGCAAACACAGATGTTCCAAAATTCCTAAACAATACCATAAACACCATGAACGATTAGAACACTAATTTCCACAAAAAACATCTAGAGAAAAATTTCATTATGAGTAGAACTCCAAAAGGTCAGGCTGGTTTAGCAGGAGTTAATCAACCATAAATATCAGCATACCTGACGCCTCGGATGGGCATCTTATGCGCCTGA